TCTCATGTTTATTTTTTACTCTTGTGTGTGATATTTCAAGTTAGATGCCTTCTTTTTCAGAATGTTGACCTGTTGGTTAAGACTCTTAGGTTATTAAGAAGATAGGTTCGTACCATGATATACATTCCAATTGCAGATTCAAAGGCAAATTAGATTAGTCACAGACGAAACTGATTTTATACAAAAGTTGTTTTAAACAAATGTACCGTTTTTTATTACCCACTCACACACACACTATATATATATATATATATATATATAGAACTACTATTCTATAGCTGTCTACAAAATAACTTATTCTATAGCCACTTTGAGTTATGATAATTACTATGTTAATTTACGAGATTATAGTAACTTTTTACTAAGTGATTTACTATAACGTTATAGTAAATATCTCCATGTGTTATAGTAACTCAACTATCGTAAATATGTATTGACATTATCGTAAATTAGTATATAAAATTATCGTAAATAGAGGTGGCTATAGAATAACTTATTTTGTAGCTGGCAACTGAATATACTATATATATATATATATATATATATATATATTCCTATAATCAATAAATCACGTTGCGTGTTGCGTATGTGTACATACTCATTTATCAGTTTGAGTATGTTGACATACTAATATTAAGATACTCCAGATCTTTACTATGCGAATTTTTTTTCAAAAGAGCACATATTTTTTAATATATTATATAATACTATGATAGTAGCATATAAAATAAGTATAACCATATACTCTAAGTATACATACATACTTGTCATACATAGTACCCTAGACCCTAGATGGTCTAGTATGATAATATACTCCATCTACATACACTTCGTCGGGCCATATACGCCTAAATATAGAGTTATACACATCGAAGTAACTACTCATATATATATATATAAAGGGCAGACCCAGTGCCGGAGGCTCCCACATGAGTGGGGATTGGAGAAGGGGAAAACCGAGACAAGCCTTCCCTCCGCAAAATCTACGGAGAGGCTGCTTCAAACTCATGACCTGGTGACTCAGTGAGACAGCTCTCACCACTTCAACAGATTATAGTAAATCTCTTAAATTAGAAATTTAATAACCAGGCTCTGATACCACCGCGGACACGGGGGTATTATTCACCGAGAACTCGAACGGATTCGAAACTTAGATTTTAAAATTTCAAGTTACTATTCACAAAACTATTCAAATTCGGCGTTCACTATTCAAATTCGCGGCTACTATTCAAATTCGGAATATGAACAGTTCGCGAGCACTCACCGGGAGTGGCTCAACCACTTTACTATTCAAGGCGCGGAGCATTTACAAGTATGGTGTGATGTCGCTTTCGCGCGCAATTATTTTATTGATACTGGACGAGTGAGTGATTAGTTAGGAGTGCGATTAGTGAATATGAGTATGCGGATAAATATTTCTGAGGATCTTTTGCAGGTTGGCGAGACCAACAGTTCAGCCGGTCGTGCGACTATGCTTGTGACAGTCCTACTTGGTACTCACCAAATGCATCACTAGCTCGCTTCAGAACCAGGCTAACCCGGTCTTCTCCCTTGCTATCCCCAGCCACGTACACACAGGACTCTGGCTCTATCGTCTCCTCAGGCAGTTCCACCCGAAGAGAACACTTCTTTGTGCATACAGGGTTCTTTACAAACGCCGCTACCAGAGCTAACACAAGAACAACACACGCAGAGGTTTCTCCTCTAGGGTCCCTAGCATAGAGATATCGCCTCATATGAACGAGCTTAAAGAAAGGCAGGGATTAAAACAGGAAAGCTTAATTCATTTCTACAGAGCAAGCTTACATACGTCTTTTTCTTTCGGGAAACCCCAAGCACTTAGCACAAACCTTAGGGATTACCTTACAAGCGCAGGAAGATCACGGGGACCTCCTTTATTCTCTAATTTACAAAGGTGGAGTGATACAACGGAAGTGGATGATTACTACTAATGGTGGATGGTTCTCAGAGTGCTTCTGAGATTATGTCTTCATGGTGTATGTGTGAGTGGAGAGTTGGTGTGGAGTGGGTGGTGGATGAGAGTGCGTGTCAGAGGTTGGTGGTGAGATGCTTCGCTCTTCGATCTCATGCCTTCATGAATGCGCCCGGCGTTTTGGTTTATAGCACGAAGGGAGTGTCCTTCAAGCTTATCGTCTGAAGGAGCCTTCGAGGCGAAGTCTTCAATTATTCTTTACTGTTGCCTGGACAGCTGGACGAAGCTGCGTGCTTCAATAATTGTCCTGGCTACAGTAGGGTGACTGTATATTCCTTTTACGCAGTCCTTCATCGTGCACGGTCTTATCCTTCTGGATATTCTTTGGTATGGTCTTCCATGCCCGAATGATTGATGTTGCAAACATCAAATCAAGGATTCTGGCATGTAGCATTATCTGAGCCTGGTTATTAAATTTCTAATTTAATGGATTTACTATAATCTGTTGAAGATTGAAAAGTTATATTATTTAAATTTAGAAGTTAATACTGGAAAGACAGTTAATACTAAAGAGAATATAAATATAAGGTGCAGACTAAATAGCTCTGAAAAACATACTTGGCACACCTCACACGGACAGATACATTTAATAGTTGATTTGATACATAACTTTTATATTTCTTGGGGAAAGAGGCAAGACCAACTAGAACTAAAATTTGACACACTGCAAAAAGAACATAAGCACCTTGAATAGCAATATTTAGGTACCAATAATAAATTAGAATTAGCTTTACAAATTTTAGAAAAGAGTAAAGTTTCTCTAGGAAAATTAGCCAGAATAGTAATTATATTAAAAAAGATAAAACTTTTCTATATAAGAAGACTGATAATATTAATATTGTTGAGCATAATAAAGAAATTGTGTTGTCATCAGCAGGAATAGTTGAGTCCACTAGATCTTTAAATTCAGAAAGATGGAAGTATCTGAGAGCCTCTCTAGAAGAGACAAGTCACTCTAGTTAGTAAATAAATACATAAGACCTCTAGGTTTTAAAGATAAACTAAAAGGAGGATGTGATGATATTGAAACCTTAGAAGAAATGATAGACGTAGAAAGAGATCTTGAAAGATATCAGAAAGATACTTTAAGAAAAATAAGGCCTCAACAAATATATCAAATGGGTTGGTTTGAAAATAAAAATAGACTATATAGAATATCTAGAGAAGTAGAATTAAGTGTATTAATAGAACCAGTCATGCTAAGAATTGCTAGTAAGCAATTTGAGAATACTTTAAAATATTCAGGGTATAAATATATACATCAGGGAATGTATATCATTGGAATTAAAGGAATGAGAAGGAAGAAATTAGGAACTAAGGTGTTAATAACTTTATTAGATAAAAGATGGAACTCAATAAACAAAGCAGCATTAGGATTTTTAGAAGGTGATATGAATGAAAATATGTTAATAACATATATAGCTCCAGATTTAATAATGCCAGTTAAAGAATTTATAGATAAGATGGCATTTGGATTCTAGACTAAAGGATATGAAGAATTTAAAGGAACGAATCTTTTAGTAAGAATAGAATTTATAGGAAGGTTAACCAACAGAAGTGGAACCAGATATAAGGTAAATGTGAACAATGTTGTAGAAAGTATACAATCTAAAGGAATAAAATTTATGTGTCCTCTGAAAATAAGTTCTGAAGAAAGAGCAGGAGAAGAATGGAATATAAGTTCTTTAATAGAACCAAAAATTTTAAAACAACTTAAAGATTACATAAGCTATGAAAATAATAGAGGGTTGACTAGTATTAGGTTTGTAGATTATAAAGAACAAAGTTTAGATGATTTAGAAGTATCCAGTTCAGAGGCAAAATTAGAAGAAAATAGAAGGCATAGCATATGTGAATTTATGGAAAAATTAGATATAGATAATGAAATAAAACATTATGAGCAAAAGTTAAGCAAAATTCATGATGAATACAAAACCTCTATGATATGTCAATGGGCTGCTATAAAAGAAAAGGAACTTTACTTTAGACGAGAGTTATTTAGACTTAATAACATCAAGAAGGATAGAGAGTTAAATAATAAGAAATCTAGCATTCCAATAAAGAAAAATGAATTTGTGTTAAAGCAAATAGGCAATAAGGTAAGGGAAGCCCAAAAAGAAGTAGATTATAGCAAAGATAAGATAAAAGACAGAGGATAATGATATAAGTGAAGAAGAGCAATGGGAAATCAATAATAAGTTTTTACTAGAAAACTATGAAGAAGAGGATGATACAATTGAGATATGCAGTAACTTAGTAACTCCAATAAACCCCTTAGAAAATAAAGAGTTGCCTAAAAATGATGCTATAGAAGCAATGTAAATGGATCCAAGTTCATCAAAAAGAAGACGAGGTCCTGAAATAAAGATAGAAGGAGAAAAAGAAAGACCAACTAGAAAACTAGGAACTTGGTCACCAGAAAAAGAAGAACCTGCATATAGTTATATACCTAGACAATATAAGCATATAGGTTCAAAAAGAAAAGAATTTGAAAAGAAGGTACAATTCCAGAATTATAGAAGTGATGGTGCTATATTAAATTTAGCAGCACATGATCCTATAGATTGGTCAAATATAATTAGCATATGGAAAGGATTGATAGTCCAAAAATATATACAAAATCAGCATAATATTGGAAATAGAGTAGAAGATATGATTACATATTTAGAAACATTTTTAGGAGAATCAGTCAAAATATTATGGGAACAATGGGTAGAAGCTTTCCCTAACCATTATGCCCAATTAAAAATGGTCGGTAGTAATCCATATAATTTTGCAAATATTATATCAAGCATTGTAATAGGTGAAGATCCTTAATTAGGATTTACTGTTTTATAGAATGAAAGATTAAAAGAAATAGAAAAATTGTCACTAACAAGCTGGAAAGGAATAAAAGAATTTTCTCAACACTATTAAAGATACGAAGGCACGCCGAATCGGCGGCCTTTCAGGGTATCCACATATGTTCTTTTTAGTTGGTGCGTTAGATCAAAATTCCACGGCTTAGATGAGACGCGTCACAACTGGCCAGGTGAAGCAAGCCTCTGATGGTACGCGACGTGCAAATAGACGGTGGCGCATAGTAGGGGACGATGGATTGTCGACATGCATAGCCGGTGCCTAACGCGTACATGCATGCTGCTGGAGCCATCCTTGCTTTGCATGCATGCATCACTTATCGATTTGTGTGTGCAGGTGCGCTCATGGAGCACCCTGGCCCCATCCCATCCTCATTTCCAGTTCTCATCCCATCCCCATCCCCATCTCCATTTCTCAGCCGCACAGGCACGCCGCCCCGTCACTTCCAAACCTAGCCAGATGAGCTCTACCTCCAGACCTAGCCAGATGAGCTCCGCCTCGCCGTCGGCACCGGTCCCTCCGCCGCCGACCTCCCCCTCCTCTCCTCCTCCCTCTTTCCCCCTACAACCCTAGCCCGACGAGCTCCACGACCCTATCACCGCTGCAGCTGCCGGTCGTCTCTCCGGCGTCGGCGGCCACCCCTCCCCCGCCCGCCTGCTCCTCCCCTACCTCTCCATCTCCCAACGGCGCGACGGCTACCCCTCCCATACCAGCATTAGCGCGCCCGGGGTCCGTGGCTCCTCTTCCTCCTCGTCGTGGTCTCGACACTCGCACTGGAGTTTGCTAGCATCGTGGACATCGTAGTTGTACGGGTGGGGCGCGGGTGGGAGCGGGAGGTGCAGCGTAGCACGGAGCCGTGGCGGGACAGGCCGTTGTCCGTGCTCGTCGCTGGCTTCGTGGGCGCGCACTGCTCGCTGGCGCTCCGCGCTCGCGGCGACGGCGTGCTCGGCCTCGACAGCTTCGACGCCTACTACGACCCGTCCCTGAAGCGTGCGCGGCAGCGTCTGCTGGTGTCCCGCGGCGTGGTGGTGCTGGACGCCGACATCAACGACGCTGCGCTGCTGGAGCGGCTGCTGTCCACGGCCGTTCACGCACGTGCTGCGCCTCGCGGCCCAGGCGGCCGTGCGCCAACCGCTCATTCAACTGCAGGAGACGGCTGGCCTACTCTAATTTCTCTAGCAGTGGCAACAATAGCAGTTGTCTGGCAGTGTTCTGCTCAATCAATCTGCTTAACATATCAGCGACAATACCATCTGGAACACAGCTTCTGCTAATGCCAACTTTTTCATCCCCTAGCCGTCTGACCTTAGATGCATTTAAAATTTCTCTATGCACTGATACGCTACTTATGATAATCCGTTGTTGTAGTTGCAGGAGCATGCCAATATCTGCTGCCTTTGATGTTGTTGCAAAGAATTTGAACCCCAAGTTCTTTGAGGTAAAGTGTTGAGACCTTGGTTTGCAAGATTTTTGGATGCCAGATAAATCTAACATAAACAACCATGTTTCAGGTGCCTACTGGGTGGAAGTTTTTTGGGAATTTGATGGATGCTGGAATATGCTCAATCTGTGGTGAAGAAAGCTTTGGCACTGGTAATATTTGGCTTCTGGCTATCATTTGTATACATGCGAATCACAGTAGTAAACATACTAGCACCTCTTGTATCGTCATGTTAGATGGGTAAATTGTGTTAACATGAATGGGGCAAATCACTTGTTGTGTTCTGATAGCGAGCTCTCTCGACCTTTTATTGAGTTGGTCGTGAATCCAACCCATAGTAAAGTTAAGGACTTGTTGGTATTTGGTATAAACATTATTGAGATGTTTATATGTACTACTTTGGCCAGGGTCTGACCACATTGGTGAGAAGGATGGCATCTGGGCTGTGCTTGCATGGCTTTCTATTATTGCTTTCAAGAATGAGCATGAACGAGATCAATCATTCCCAAATCTAAGCAACATGACTAAAATTGGAGGATGCTGAGGCTGCCAACCAACGATCCATTGAAAATTTTCTGGTAGTTTTACATTCGAGGTATCTTTTTATTATAGGATGATCTCGCTTTCTGGAGACTGGAGTAGGGATAATGGTATATTTGTTTGTTTGGTGGCTCCTTGTTCAGGGAAGTACTGTAAGATGTGCAGTCAGGTCATTAGCTTAACCCAGTAGAGGCAGTACCACCTCTCTTCTAGGAACTTTTGGGGTTAAGAAAACTGATTCTGGTCATTTTAAGTAGGTTTTCAAGTGAATTTTCCAGCCCCACAATTTTACATTTTATTTATGTAAACATCCCAATATTATCTGATAAAATTGCTTGCTGCACTGGAAATCGAGAGGAAATAGTCTGTGGTTGAGTATATTTTAGTTCTCAGAGGTTAGCACTGAACCATACTGATTTGCAGCTTTAGTGCTGGCTTCATATTACGATTTCATTCTCTCACTGGTACCACAGTAAAAACGATTTGTACAAGGGGACATTTTAAACTGATCTTTCTCTAATTTTCGGAAGGCAATGTGAGCTAATTTGTTTTTTCGTTCGATAGGACAAATTGGATATGCTCTTGTTCCCATGATTGCTAGGGGAGTTATGCTTGGTGCAGGCCAACCTGTTATTCTGCACATGCTTGACATTCCGCCAGCAGCTGAAGCCCTTAATGACGTTAAGTTGGAGTTGGTTGATGCTGCATTTCCTCTTCTGAAGGGTAAGCTGATGTGCTAATTCAGAGAGTACTGCCTCTTCTGTCTTCTATATGTGAATTGTTCTTGCTGCCTTGATGATGTATAAACATTTGGTAAACTATAGGAGTTGTCGCAACAACTGATGTTGTGGAAGCCTGCACTGGTGTGAATGTGGCCGTCATGGTTGGTGGATTCCCCAGGAAGGAGGGAATGGCAAGGAAAGATGTTATGTCGAAAAATGTTTCAATCTACAAAGCCCAAGCATCTGCCCTTGAAGCCCATGCGGCCCCTAACTGCAAGGTATTGGCTACCATCCAATTTTTTGTAGCAGGCTAAGTCATCATGCACTAAATTTGGTCATTTTGGTGCTGATAGTGCTGCCGATCACTCAATTCAGTCATGTAAGTGGTTATCCTGTCATCATGCACTTGATTTAGCTACTCGTCTGGGTGGTCAATGGTGATGTACATAAATGGTGTATTATATATGGCCATTATAAAATGGACCTGCCCTATTTTATGAGCTTTTCTGTTTTGTATGCTCCACACTATGCCACTGCCAATCTGCCATTGCATGCCTTAACAAGTAGCCTCAACATATATTAGATCAAATCAAATGATCTGAATTTCAGTTATTATGTACCCTTAGTTTCCTGAGAAGCCATGTCTGGTTCATTATGTTTCTTTGCTGTTTTCATCTGTAGATTTTTCAATACCCGTTCTGTGCTCTGCAGGTTCTGGTGGTGGCCAACCCAGCAAACACCAATGCTCTTATCTTGAAAGAATTCGCTCCATCTATTCCTGAGAAGAACGTTACTTGCCTGACCCGTCTAGACCACAACAGGGCTCTTGGCCAGATTTCTGAGAGACTTAGTGTCCAAGTTAGTGATGTGAAGATGTTATCATCTGGGGGTAACCACTCATCCACTCAGTACCCTGATGGTAACCATGCCACAGTGAAGACTTCCGCTGGGGAGAAGCCTGTTCGTGAGCTTGTTGCTGATGATGAGTGGTAAATCAGAAATGCTAAAAATACTTGGATATTACTGTTTATTATTTTCCTGCCAGGTCGGGAACTAACGGTTTCACCCTTTGTTCTAACAGGCTTAATGGCGAATTCATCACAACTGTCCAACAGCGTGGTGCTGCAATCATCAAAGCGAGAAAGCTCTCCAGTGCTCTCTCAGCTGCTAGCTCTGCTTGTGACCACATTCGTGATTGGGTTCTTGGAACCCCTGAGGTCAGCTTCAGTTCTTTGCGTCTTTCGATTCTTTCAGTTTTAAATGTGAACTTGTATCAACACCTTCAATTCTTTTTATTGTAGGGAACATTTGTTTCCATGGGTGTGTACTCTGATGGCTCATACGGTGTTCCTTCTGGACTTATTTACTCATTCCCAGTAACATGCAGTGGTGGTGAATGGAAAATCGTTCAAGGTATGATTGTTGTAGTGTTGAAAGGAAGACTTGACACAGCTGTTTGGGGCCTTTGTTCGTTGTAGTTTTTTTTTCATAGATGGCTAGATGTTGCAGTTTCTTCCATAGCTCTTGGTGTCTAAAGGATTTCAATAAAAACTTGCCATCCTACTCAGTAGTAAGTGATTATGGCCCATTTGCTTAATCAAATAGAGCTAATGGAAAGGTGCTAAAAGATCTCGAGCTGATCCAAACAATCCAGATTATAGTCCACAGTTTGACTGAGCTTGAATATCCAACCACTCAGGCCCCCAGCCAACGAGAAGCTGACTCCCACCAGTTATTACAGCTAATAAGTTTATGCATACAGGGCCTATGCTGCACCACGCTAACATGTTTTATTATAATCTAATAAGCTATCATCTTCCCAACACCAAAGTTCAAACATAAGTGTTTTTATCATAAATTACAATGCACCTGGCTTCCAAGAAATTTAAGTTTAAACCTTGTAAGTTGCCTGATGTTGTATCATGTAGGCCTCCCGATTGATGAGTTCTCAAGGAAGAAGCTGGATGCCACTGTCCAAGAGCTGTCGGAGGAGAGGTCGCTTGCTTACTCATGCCTCGAGTAAATTCTACCATACCCCTGAGAGCAATTGCTACCCCTATGTTTTGAATAAAAGAAACTCAATCTCCATTCATAGATTCTCACTCAGGGCTGCTGCACGTCGCGGTGCAGGCGTGTTGCTGGCTTCGCCCAGCGTGTATGGCTTGTAGCTCCTTTTTTGCCTGATGACTTGCAGGACATTTATTGAAAACTTGCTATTGAACCGCTTGACGATGGGGAAGTGGTAGCATAGTTTTGTTGCTTTCCTGGTGCCTAACTATCCTTAAGTTTACTGTTAGACCCTTTCTGGATTCCATTGATTTTTTTCTCTCTGATTTTACAGTTTCTGTTTTTAGTTTCCTGTTGCAAATTCATTGTGTTCCAAACGGATGCTTTATTGCTGGGCGTGTCCCTGCTCTGTTTTCTGTCCCGGCACATGACAACTATCGCGGTCTTGTGGCAAACCGCACATGTTCTTGCAAAAATGTTCGCCTGGCGCGCGGTCTTGTGGCACACGTTCTTGCGGGAATGTTACCGAACGCCCTGTTCGTTTGAACTTAGAACTTATCCGGCGTACAGTTTCAGTAAAATAACAGTGTTTTTGTCTCGTAATAAAAGAACGCGCATCGGGTCCTTCACCATCGGAGCGAGTGATTGTAATGGTAGAGCGGTCATTGGTCTTGGTGTAGTCCAACATCTTCGCCTACGCATGGTGGATTGAAAGCCGGTAGACGTATTTAATGTCTTCCCTTCATGCTACCATCACATAAAAATAAGTCGGGCAGGTGGATACATTTAATGCCTCTCCTCCTTACCATCAGATAAAAACAATCCACCGACCATGCAGAAACATTTGTACTTACACATGCATCCATGCATGTAATAGACGGACGGTGTGCCTGCATGGCCGGTGCCTAATTAGCATGGTGGTCGGCACGCATGCGAGTACGCGTACGTGCATGCTGCTGGGGCCTTGCTTGCTTTGCACGCATGGCCGGTGCCCTAGCTGTACCCGTTCTTGTCTCCTTGTGAGAAGGTAAAATTTTATGACCTGTTCTTTCTCTACGAGAATACGTCAAAAGTGGGCCAATAGCAACAGCAGTGCATGCATGCACGCCTTTAAACCTGCAGTGGCTTCAGGCCAACTAGCACCCATCCCCACAAAAATACTAACACTTCAATGTCCTTTACCCATACCAAGAACACAATTTGCTAAGTAAAGAACCAAAGTCATGTTGACATGTTTAATAAGCAGAGATGTTTAGTAGCTAGGATGGATATGACTATGATAAGACATAAGATGCATGCGCCCATGAAAATTGAATGTATATAGAATTCAGCAATCTCTAGGTCTGTTAGCTGTGGACACTGAATAACTCAAAGCCTCCACGGAAGCACTGACTAAAGCTAAAATGGGAAGGGAAAACAAAAGCAGTACACATGCTTGTAGGACAAAGATGAAAAGTAGTGATCTTCATCAGTCTAAGTGAACCGCGCCAGGACCACAGACCGCTCCGCCTTTATAAGCAGAGCCTGACTTAGCCATTGGTACCACCACTCGGCGCACTTTAGCTCGCTTAGGTTTTCCCTTTGAGCAAGCTTTTTGCTCAGCCCTTCTTTATAGCCACCGTCAGAAATGGCAGGAGCCTGGGTTAGTGGTTACTGCCTGAACATTGAGGGTTTTCCTAGAATCCTGCATGCCACCCTGCAAAAGCTCAGAGTCAAAGATCGTCCCGAGTATGAGGGCCATGAGTATGAGAAGCATGGCACCGATCGGTGTGAGGTTACCATCTACATTGGGAGGAGTGAAGAGTTTCCCGACATCACCGAAGCCTAGAGTGTGACCGCAACCGGGTTTAGCTTCACCGACACCTACCAGGTTGTGGCCCGCAAAGCCTTGCAATACCTTTGCCAGCTCTATGAAGAGCCCATTGCCCATACCCCCATGAGGTTCTTTCCACCCTTGGATAGGAATCGGCGGGCATGGAGGGCTCGCATGGAGGCTTTGCAAGGGCGGGATGCACAAGAAGATAGTCCTACCGTGGTGCACTTGACCACATACCTGCTTGCTCTAGATGAGCAGTATGACCAGCAAGCCTTGGAGCTGAGGGCGTGCCTCCGGCGCGCCGAAGAAGCTGAGATCTTCACTCGGATGCTCCAGGTGCAACTCACCGAAGCGCATGCCAGTGCTGCAGCTGCTGAGAGTCGAGAGACTGCCATGTCAGAAGCTCTAAAGGAGGCCGAAGATCGGCATGTTCATCAGCTGGGTGAGGCCTATCTGTTCACTAGGGCCAAGCGGAGGATGTTGGTTGATGAGAGGCAGGATGCCCCGATCTTGGAGGGGATCCCTATCCACCCGCCTGAAGGAAGGAGAACCGGTGATGCAGAACCGCCAGCACCTCCACCTTCGGAAGTGTTAGAAGCAGAACCCTTGGTTCCTCTCACTCAGACATTGCCACGAGAAGATGCAGATTCATAGCCAGGGCGGTAGAAGAATCCGCCGAGCACAGGAATAAAGATGTGTGGTTCCAAGGTAGATTAGTTGCCTTGGGATGCTGTACCCGTAGTAGTAGTGCTTTTCGTCGCTGTCCTCCTGTATTGTACTCTTGCCGTTGTTGTCATCTGTAGTTGTTGGATGTGTGTTGTAGTTTCGCCTAAGGGGAGTGGATCCTAATTCACTTTTTTATAAACCCTCACGTTAGGAGAAGTACTTATGTTGTAGTTTTTGCTATTCCCACCTATAATGTAATCATATCCAATGTTATGCTTTAAATCTAGGTGTGTCAGTTGCTTGAGCCCAACTCCATCAAATACTTCTTTCCACTAACATGTCATTGATTTGCTGACCTAGAATAGGCACCATGTAATGACAACCAACCTCTATGTTCGTTTACAATATTGAGACCAACCTTCCGTACCAACACGATGAGAAAACATATTAGACATATGAGCCATAGTTCTTAAATTTTTTTCTATACCAAGCACATCACCCGCAGCGAAGCGCGGGCAGCAGTGGCTAGTTTGTATAATGCTACTACTGTCAAGCAAGGATATAACCAAGGTATAGTTGAAAGATATTTTAATAAACTACCAGATCCTTTAGGTTCTATGATATTTGAAGAATATAAAAAAGAAACTAGTGGTAAAGAATATAATATCTCCCAGGCTATAACATTTGTTTTCAAGCAGTTAAGAAAAATATACACGAAAATACAAGCCCAAAGATCAATGAAACAATCAGATTATAATTTTTGCAATAAAATAGTTCAAAAACCATTGACATATGGAGAAGAGAGATCTAGAAACAAGAAATATCCTAAGAATTATAAGAAAGGAAATGTAAGGACAAAGAGACTTTATTTTCTAAGAAGATTAGACAATAGAGCTCCATTCCTCCATAAGAGAAATGTGAGAAGATATAATCCTAGGAAAAATTATGATAGTACATGTAGATGCTTCATTTGCAACTCACCAGATCACTTAAGCAAAACATATCCTAACAAAGACAAGAAAAAGGTATTCCAATAAGCAAGAAGAACAAGAAAAGTTTCAAATAATAGGTAGTGTGAATGAAAATATTTTAGTCTGTGATGATGATATAATGGATGATGAATCGATATACTCAATTATAGAGACAGATGAAATAGAATATGATAAAGAAAAAGAATCAAGTGATGAAGAGTTAGACTTAATTGATGAGTTAGCAGGATTAAAGATAGAAATGATGGATCAAATAAATTGCAAACACAAGTGGGATCATAAAAAAGGTGATTCTAATAATGTGTATTTTGCATATATTATCAAGATCTAGCAAAATGAGCAACATGTAGTATATGTTTAAGACAAGCATGTCATGTCTCAAACAGCAAAGTGATATGAAAAATGACTCAGAAGCTGAGATACTATATGAGGATAATAAAGTACAATCAGAAAAAGAAGTAATTCTAGAGGAAAGAGGAAACAAATATTTAAACAATATTCCATAAGAGTTTCTCATTCCTAAATTAAGTTTTAAGACTGAACAAATTTTTTCATACTTTACTCGTGATATTATAGATCTAATTTGGAAGAAATATGCTGAAAGGCATTACAAAACCTTTCATGATATACAAAACTACTTTATGAAATTATACCAAGGTAAAGAAAGGCATCCAGGAATAATTATGAATGCAAATACTTTTCCTTTACTTCATCTCGATGATAAATTAATTGTTAAGCCTCATCAAAGATTCTTAATATTGAGGGCTGATATAAATTTAAAATATTTCAGAAGTATACAAAGAAATATTGGAGATGATATCTCTTTACAAACTATTATTGATCATGGGTTAGTCTATGATATATATGGTACACTTGAAGAAATTTTCCAATCAGAGCTGGGAATAGCTATCAAAGAAGCTTATAAGAAATTAGCATGTATTCAAGGGAAATACAAAATTAAGTTTTGTTCTAATCCACCAAAATTTACACAACCAATAAGACCAGCATGCCATGATATATATATCACAAAGGGATCATATAAATTTCCTACTACATGGACTTCAGACTCATGGCAAAATTATGAAGAGTTATTCGTAAAAGACACGAATCATGATAATTGGAGAATTTTCAATGAAGCAAAAGAATTAGAAGGAAACATCAAATTTGCTCCTAAATATTATATGATGTACCAAAATAAAATAATAAAAGTATTCTTACGAGAATACTATGGAAGGTATAGTATAATACAAAGAGAAGTTAGAAGACTAATAAAGCCTAGCTATGGCAAAGAATGCCAATTACGAAAAGAATATCGTGAATTGTTGTCCTGGTATGAAATATGGCAACCTGAAGAATTGGACAATGAAGAAAATATTGAGGAGCAATAAGAAGAATCAATACAGATCCAGTTCAATACAAATATATATGTTCTATACAAGAAATATATTCCCTATGTTGATAAGGTGTTATCAACAATTTGGCCGGGGGAAGATAATACTACATGCTAGAATCCTTGATTTGATGTTTGCAACATCAATCATTCGGGCGTGGAAGACCATACCAAAGAATATCTAGAAGGATAAGACCGTGCGTGACAGAGGACAGCGCAAAAGAAATATACAGTCACCCTACTGTAGCCAGGATAATTATTGAAGCACGCAGCTCCGTCCAGCTGTCTAGGCAACAGTAAAAAGGAATAATTGAAGACTTCGCCTTGAAGGCTTCTTCAGACGATAAGCTTGAAGGATACTCCCTTTGTGCTATAAAGCAAGATGTAGGGCACATTCATGAAGGCATGAGATCGAAGAGCGAAGCATCTCACCACCAACCTCAGACACACACTCTGATCTACCACCCACTCCATCCCAACTCTACACTCACACATACACCATGAAGACATAATCTCAGAAGCACTCTGAGAACCATCCACCATTAGTAGTAATCATCCACTGCTGTTGTATCACTCCACCTTTGTAAATTAGAGAATAAAGGAGGTCCCCGTGATCTTTCTGCGCTTGTAAGGTAATCCCTAAGGTTTCTGCTAAGTGCTTGGGGTTTCCCGAAAGGGAAAGCCATATGTAAGCTTGCTCTATGAAAATGAATTAAGCTTTCCTGTTTTAATCCCTACCTTCATTTAAGCTCGTTCATATGGGGCGATGTCTCTATGCTAGGGACCCTAGAGGAGAAACATCTGCGTGTGTTGTTATCGTGTTAGCCCTGGTAGCGGTGTTTGTAGAGAACCCTGTGTGCGTAGAGAAGTGTTCCCTTTGGGTGGAACTGCCTGGGGAGACGATAGAGCCAGAGTCCTGTGTGTGCGTGGCTGGGGATAGCAAGGGAGAAGACCGGGTTAGCCTGGTTCAAGCGAGCTAGTGATGCATACGGTGAGTACTGACTAGGACTGTCACAAGCATAGTCGCATGACCGACTGAACTGTTGGTCTCGCCAACCTGCAAAAGATCCTAAGAAATATTTATCCGCATACTCATATTCACTAATCGCACGCCTAACTAATCACTCACTCATCCAGCATCCATAAAATAATTGTGCGCGAAAGCGACATCACGCCATACTTGTAGAGGCCCCATGCCTTGAATAGTAAAGTGGTTGAGCCACTCCCGGTGATGGAGGTGGAGGGGAAGGGAGAGCAGCCCACCGCTGAGATCCGGTCGCCCTCCGTCAAACTCCACGCCTTCTTGCTCGAAGTTGCCAGATTTGGCCACTGCTCAGGTGGGGGAGCGCTGCGCTGCCGGGGCCATCCACCATGAGATGCGTGTCCGCGCCGCCGAGACTGCCTCCGTCCGTGTCAGGGCCGCCCGCAACCGAGACGGATCTTGCTGCATCCATGTCGCCGGGGCCGGCCGCCCGCGCCAACCTTGCCGGTGGGAGGGAGATGGGCGGATCGGGAGGGAGAGGTGCGGCTCGACAAGGGGAGACGGGAGGGAGACGCTGAGGGAGGGAGAGGGGCGGCTCAGTGAGGATAGGGAAGAAGAAGGGGAGGGAGGGAGGGGGTGGGTGCGGGAGGAGTGGGGCTGGGGAGGGGAGGGCAGGATTTTAGGGGCGCGAGTGTTTTTTTTCTACATTTTTTTGCTTTGCCGAGTGTCCTAGATATGGGCACTCGGCAAAGTTTTTTTTTCATTTTTTTCTTCTCTTTCTTTTCTAGAAAAAAGATTTTACTTCTTTGCCGAGTGTTCTAGATCTAGACACTCGGCAAAGTTTTTTTCATTTTTTTCTTCTCCTTCTTTCCCAGAAAAAAGATTTTACTTTTTTGCCGAGTGTCCTAGATCTGGGCACTCGACAAAGTTTTTTTTTCATTTTTTTCTTCTCTTTCTTTCCCAAAAAAAAAGATTTTACTTCTTTGGCGAGTGCAAAAAAGAAAACACTCGGCAAACCCCCTCTTTGCCGAGTGTTTTTTTTTGCTGAGTGTTTTTAGCTCAGCACTCGGCAAAGAACTTGTTTGCCGAGTGTCCGAGAAAATACACTCGACAAACATAAAAACACTCGGCAAATTTGAGGATTCCGGTAGTGATCGCTCCAAGGCTGGTAGTATCTCATGTACATCCGCACATCCAGCCCTAATACTGATTTGATGATTACATTAGGCACGTCGCTATGGAATAGACGAGCCATTTGCTTGGGAAAGTAGTGAGTTTTTGAGGAAACTCTGCTCTCCCTCTGTATGCTCGGCGGGGGCACACGCCGAAAGGACTCCCTTGCTGCTGCACTATAGCCGCGGCAGGGGAAGGCACTGAAAGGCTTCCCTGCAGCACTGTAGCCATAGCAGGGGCAGGTGCCAAAGGCCCTATTCGTTTGTCTTATAATCCGTACTTTTCAGCTTATTTTTTCAGCCGCAACATTGTTTTTCTCTCACAACAAATCAACCGGAACAGTGATTCGGCTTATTTTTCAGTAAAACGAACGGGGCCAAAGTCAGCCCTGCTGTCACATCTAGTCACTGTAGCAGCACGGCAGCCTGGCATGTTAGTGTACTAGGATTAGATGGGTAGAGTTGTATATATAGCTTCCCATTGCAACTCAGTAAAGTTGAGAGATTTCAGTTTTGTCATCTCCTCTGTAGAGCTCCAGCCAACGCTGATGCTTGTGCTGTGTGTGCACGCGCTCTGTTCACCCTCCGTCTTTTACCTTCAATCATAGTGTGTGTGCAAGAACGTTTGTGACCGGTGACTGGTCGGCTCATCCGTGTGGGAGATCCCGGGCACCTGTTGGCCGACGCTGACTCGACCAACTATGGCGAGTGGGCGGTGACCATGAAGGTCAAGTTCAGAGCCCGATGGCTCCGGAATACCATTGATAAGGGAACCAACAACGAAGAAGACGACATATCAGTGTTGGAGGCTATCCTCGCTGCTGTGCCAGCGGAGTACAGGATGTCATTGGGGGCGAAGAACTCTACTAAAGAGGCGTGGGAGGCCATTGCAGCGATGAGCGTCGGCTCTGACCGCGCAAAGAAGGCGACGGCCCTGCTGCTGAAGCAGGAGTATGCCACCCTCAAGTTCAAGGATGGTGAGTCGGTGGAGGACTTCTCCCTCCACCTGCAGTCACTCATCAGCAAGCTGAGAAGCCACGATGTCACCATCGACGAAGAAGAGGCGATCTCCAAGTACCTCCACTACGTGCCGATGAAGTACATCCAGATCGCTCTCTCCATAGAGACGATGCTGGACTTGTCCACCCTCACCATTGAGGATGTGATAGGCCATCTTCGGGCGGTGGACGAGTGCATGGAGCAGGCCATAGCAACGACGGACAGTGGCAAGCTGCTGCTGACAGAGGAGTAGGCTGCCCGGATGAATGAGAAGAAGTTTGTGGAAGCCTCCTCCAGCCGTGGTGGCGATGGCAAGCGTCACGGCAAGACTTCTTCAGAGAAGAAGAAGGTTGACCCCAACGCCTGTCGATGCTGCGGGAAGACGGGCCATTGGGAAAAGGAGTGCCTAAATCACAAGCAAGAGAAGAAGGCTGAGGTTCATTTAGCGCAGGCTAATGAGGAAGGTGAGGCCACCCTCCTAATGGAGATGTTATGTGCACTGCACAACGTTTAGACCAAGGAGAAGGGAGAGGTGATGGCAGTGGAAGGGCAAGGCAAGGCTCTGAAGGCTGTCAACCTCGACGAACCACACGCCCAAGTCCACCTAGGACGTGTGGGTGGCGAGCAGAAGCAGTGTTGGTACCTGGACTCCGGCGCTAGCAACCACATGATGGGCTCAAAGGCAGCCTTCTCTGAGCTCAACAGCAATGTGATCGGCACGGTGAAGTTCGGTGACGGCTCAAGGGTGGCGATCTAAGGGCGCGACACCATCATCTTCAGGTGCCAGAACAGCGAGCACCGCACGCTGATGGACATATATTACATCCTGTAGCTACGTTGAAGCATCATCAGTATTGGCCTGCTGGATGAGCACGGCAGCGAGGTACTAATCAAGGAGGGCATCCTCGGGATCAGGGACCGGGAGCAGCTGCTTCTTACCAAGGTGAAGAGGTCTCGGAACTGGCTATACCTGCTCGACTTAAAGGTGGAGCAGTCGGTGTGCCTGGCAGCATGACACACCGAGCAGCCGTGGCTGTGGCATGCCCGGTTCAGCCATCTTAGCTTCGACATGCTCGGTCGGCTGGAGAAGATGGTCCAAAGGCTGCCCCACATCAAGCACATAGGCGAGCTATGTGATAGCTGTGGCAGAACCTCCTAAGAAATTGGGCCCACGTGCACCTATTGATGTCTCAACAGACCTCAGATAGCGTACACAAGTTCCCAACAACTTAATAGGTCTGTCGGGTGTCCTCGGGAAACCCAAATCATCCACGAATCTTTTCCAAACAGGATCCCAATCACAGTCATTACAAATTACAACAGTTTTCAATATACATACCAGAGATTATAAAGTGGAAGACTTAAGTTTTAATATTACAAACCAGTTGTTTCAAACTTACAAAACCATAATTGTCATACAACCATAGTAGCGGGATAATATTACATTAACATTATTTATTTCACACAAACTAGTGCCTTGTCCAAAGGCCATTCATCATTCCTCATCGTCATCGACTTCGAACACTAACATGCAGCAGGGACCAAAACAAGCCTGCGCATGCGACTCACCTGCAACAAGGGTTAACAAACCCTGAGTACAAAAGTACTCAACAAGACTGACCCGACCAAAAAGGGCAAAGGTCTTAGGGATGCAGGTGTTGGGTCAAGGTAAGGATGTAGAAAGTTTCAAAAGTTCTTTGCCAAAAGCTTACTATTCTTGATCCTAGTTTCAAGTTTTACCCCTAAGTACTTTAGTTCATTATCTCCAACCAAGTGTTCATATCCCATGTTCCAATCCTTCTCATTCCATTCTTTTTCACATGTTTTGGTAATTCACCAGTCCTGCATTGCTTCTGTAATGAATCGAGTCTCCATATCCGTGGAGCACCGGCAATTCGAATTGATTCAAGTCCCAGCTGGGGATTCCTTATCACACGACATATGTAGAACTTAATCTTGCATATATCAACCTTGCTACCGGATCCTCCTATACTAAGCCATCTCCACGCCACCCGAGAGCACAGCACACCTCAAATCCGGCCACATTCAAGCCACGAGGGTACACGCTACTCCCGCCATCTCACCACTCCCAGTGCGTGGGCATTCGTCTTAGTATCGGATTAGCCGAAGTAGGCTTACCGGAGTATGTGACCAGTACTACAAAGTGTCTCGTTCAGAAGATCCACAATGAGTGGCCTTTAAGCGACATAGTCGGCAACATTACCCAACATTCAAGATAAGCCACCCAACTAGTCTCTAGTTCATTCTGTCTTCTTTCTTTCTTTCATTGGCCAGTATGCCATCTTTGATTGTATTGAAACTTTTACTTTGAAAAACCTACCATAAAGCATACTAAGCAATTCTACGCCTTTGTAAATGAAATCATCTTCAAGGATGGTAAACAATCAACAAGGTAGGCAATGCATCAAGTAGGTAACATTTGAATAAATCAACTTAATGCAATAAGTAACATAGGTGATGAACTTTTCAAAGTAAACAAGGTAATGGTTTAATGCATAAACCAGGGCCTGCCTTCGTTGACGATCTCAGGTTCTGGATCAGCACCACTATTATCGAATCCCGTGACAACCGGGGATTCTTCCAGAACTTGCTCAACTAGAATCGGTTCACTCTCGGATTCTACACAAAATAATAGCATATGCTTCAATATGATGATAATGTAAACATGATGCTTTCATGGTGCATGAAATATAACAACACCTTGAATACAACTTTCCTTCACGGTACAGTTACAAGCCAAACTAACCAAACCATATTAGTAACGGATGTGACCACGTCAGCACCGACCACTTCAGCGAGCTCTCCGACCACTTCGGCAAACTCTCCGACCACTACGGTGAACTCTCCGACCACTACGACGAATTCTTCGACCACTACGGTGAACTCTCCGACCACTATGGTGAACTCTCCGACCACTACTGTGAACTCTCTGACCACTACGGTGAACTCTCCGACCACTGATCTTGAAACCCTACTGGTCACAAAACATGATCAAGACAAGATCAAACACTAATCAAACACTTAGGGTTTGCTTTTATTTATTTTTGAATTAATTTGGAAATAAGCCCAAAAATGATCTTGTTCCAAATTACCTCAAAATTTTATGTAAGCTTCCTCATGACAAATTAGTGTACCAAAACAAATTTAATAATTTTTGTAATTATACAGTGGCCTACAAAAATCATGGAAATTGCATTTATTAATTAATGGACTGAATATTTGAACATTAAAAATTTATTCAAATTTCATGTTTCAAATTTTTAAACCATACTAGAGCATGTACAGAGGCTACATACAAAATTTCGGAATTTTTGGAGCTATGATTATTTTCCTACAAATTCCCAAATT